CGAGGGTCAGCGGTTTAGGTGGGATTTCGTCACGGCTGACATCTCCTTCGCCCTCCTCGGCGCAGACTTCCTGTGCGCAGACTTCCTGTGCGCTCACGGACTGCTGGTGGACGTCAAGAACAACCGCCTGGTGGACGCACTGACGTTTGCCTCGTTCACATGTACCCGCGGCGAGGCGTCATTCAGCGGGCTCTCCAGCTCACTCTCACAGGGTGACAAGTTCCAGCACCTTCTCAGTGAGTTTCCCGACTTGACGCAGCCCACCTTTTCCGCTGCCACTGCCAAACACGTAGAGCACCACATTGACACTGTGGGCCCCCCAGTCTACGCTAGGGCCCGGTGGCTCAACCCTGACATGCTGGCAGTCGCCAAGTCGGAGTTCGTCAACATGGAGCGTCTGGGCATCATCCGCCGCTCAGACAGCCCTTGGGCTTCGCCGCTTCACATGGTCCCTAAAGCAGCCGGTGGCTGGTGACTGTGTGGTGACTACCGCCGACTTAACGACGCCACTACGCCAGACCGCTACCCGGTCCCTCACATCCAGGACTTCTCTGCACACCTGGCGGGCAAGCTGGTCTTCTCCAAGGTAGATCTGGTGCGGGGCTACCACCAGGTTCCGGTGCACCCCTCGGACGTCCCCAAAACTGCGGTAATTACGCCGTTCGGGCTTTTCGAGTTCCTGCGTATGCCGTTTGGACTTAAGAACGCTGCTCAGTCCTTTCAGCGGCTGATGGATTCGGCGCTCAGAGACATGCCATCTATTTGGCGGTTCGCCACTTCCGTTTCCTGCTGGAAGGCCGGGAGTTTGCGGCGTTCGTGGATCACAAGCCGCTTACCTTCTGCATGTCCAAGGTGGCCGAGCCGTGGTCCGCCCGACAGCAACGCCAGCTTTCGTACATCTCCGAGTACACCACGGACATTCGACACATCGCTGGCAAGGCTAACGTGGTCGCGGACTGCCTCTCCAGAGCGGTTGTCGGAGCTGTGCAGCTGGGCCTCGATTACCTCCGCATGGGCGCTGACCAGGCCTCTGACCACGGGGTCCAAACCCTCAAGGCCTCGGTCACGGGATTACGCCTGGAGGAGGTCACGGTCGGTGACTCGGGCGCGAAGCTGTGGTGTGACGTCTCCACGGGCCAGCCTCGACCGCTGGTCCCTGCGGACTGGCGCCGACCCGTTTTTGAGGCGGTTCACAATCTTTCCCACCCCGGTAGGAAGCCGTCCGTGAGGTTGTTGTCGCAGAAGTTCGTGTGGCAGGGGCTTAAGAAGGACGTGAGGTCCTGGGTCGACTCATGCGTGGCCTGTCAACGGGCCAAAGTCCACCGCCATACTAGGGCCCCTTTTGAACTTTTTGCGGTTCCTGAGAGGAGGTTTGACCATGTCAATGTCGACCTCGTAGGTCCGCTTCCCCCCTCTCACGGTTTCACCTACCTGTTTACGATGGTGGACAGGACGACCCGCTGGCCCGAGGCCGTTCCCCTCACCTCGACGTCAGCTTCCGACGTCGCCCGCGCTTCATCGGCACGTGGGTGGCGCGCTTCGGGACCCCGTCTGACCTCTCCTCTGACCGCGGTTCTCAGTTCACCTCGGAGCTGTGGAACGCTGTTGCTGTGGGTTTGGGGGTCAAGCTGCACCGCACCACCGCTTATCACCCCCAGGCTAACGGATTGTGTGAGCGGTTTCACCGATCCATGAAGGCGTCGCTGCGTGCCGGCTTGACAGACGGCAACTGGGTGGATAAGCTCCCATGGGTTATGCTCGGCCTCAGGTGTGCCCCCAAAGAAGACCTGCAGTCCTCGTCGGCGGAGCTCGTTTATGGCCAGACGCTACGGGTCCCCGGGGCATTCATTCCCACCGCCACTGTGCCCTGGTCTGCGGCCGGGCAGCGCTCCTCCCTGCTGGAGACCGCCAGGACATTCGCGCCCGTCCCCACGTCGCAGCACAGCAGCCCAGCTTTCCGGGTGTCCCCCGGATTACGGTCGGCGGATTTCGTTTTATTCGACACGACGCCCACCGCGGCCCCCTGCGGCCCCCTTACGACGGTCCGTTCAGGGTCATACACCACGGGAACAAGAGCCTGGTGGTGGACGTTGGTGGCAGGCCTGAGACTGTGTCCGTTGATCGGGTTAAGCCTGCTCACGTGGACGTTTCCAGGCCGTTGGAGTTGGCTCTGCCCCCACGTCGGGGCCGCCCTCCCATGGCCCGCCCCCCGCCCCCTGTGGGGATGCCCTCGCCCTCGTTGGCGCCCCTGCCCCTGCCCTCGCCTGCGGCCCCGCCCTCCTCGGCCCCTGTGGTCCGTACGCGCCGGGGTCGGGTGGTACTTCCTCCCAGGCACGAGGATTTTGACTATGGGTGAATTCTGGGGGGGCTTGTGTGGTGATTGACATTATTCACCCACAGATCTATGGGTTGGGGTATTGTTCCGCACGGACATTTTAGTGAACCGGACTTTCTGTTTCCGCCGGTTTTAGCTTCCCGGGCATGAAGTTGTTGACATGTGAGTTCAGATGCTAAATAAAAGTCTAGCTTGTTCTTTTGATACCCCGCCTCCGACTCCCGTCTCTCGGCACCACACCGGCCGACTTTCCTGCAACGGCAGTTTTTCTGTATTTCCTCTATCCTGTAATATGACTTGATAGCTTTAAACTCCGCACACGGAGCTCTGATTGGTCAGCAGGCGGTGCTTTCACTGAGTTGATCTCTTAGCCTGCAACCTAACCTCCTCCCGAGGAGGTTAGCCGCTCAGCATAAGTTACCATGGAGATCTAGCCCGCTAAAAAGAGAACCAGCGTCGTAGGACCGGAAAGCCCGAGTTTTCCCTGAAGTCAGCCGGCTAAGCGAAAATCCGGCTTCGTAGTACAGGCCTCAGGATTCAAACAAGATGGGATCAGGTAATGAACACAAGACATTTAGGAAATGTACAAAGTCTACACTGATCTATAACAGCAACTTTTAGCAGTCATCTCCTCGTCACCACTGGTTTCATATTTCACAGTTAGACATCTTTATTTATAACAGCAAACAATATTTCTAAATAACAAATGTCAAATGATCTCTCAGGATGAAGATTTGTGTTTCACACGAGTTGTGTTCCGAGCGAAGGATGGAAGAAAACAACAATAGATGGAAAATGGACAACAATATCACATTCACACTGTTTAGGCAGAAACAAACTAAAGTGCAAGGAGTTCAGATACAGAAGGTTTACATTCATGTGCTCAGTTTAAGTATTCAATCCCTCCTGCTTTTCTCTCAGTTGTTGTGCCAATCTGTTAGATCATGAAGTGTTGACATGTTTTATAAAGATTGGGTTTAGTGCCTCTTTCCCTGTTCTTACTGAAATCTTATTAATAAGCTGTGTGCAAACAAAATGTTATCATCAACTAACAAACTGCTCCTTTCCTTATTGATGAATGTGGTATCATTACATATATTTGAATCCTGATAAAAATGATCAATATAAGAACAAATAATAAATACATTGAAAGGATAGCAGGATGAACATTTCAGTATTCCAGAAAAACAGTAAAATTCTAAATATTTTAGATACATTTTACATAGCCTACATTTGATCCAAGTGAATTGACTTAATTCAGAATATTTCGCTCTTTCTCGTCGCTCTTTAACTATTGGATGTGCCAACACAATATTTGGATATTTTCTCCTCAACTAAGTTGCTGTGTCTAAAAATGTAATGTAACATTTAACATGAATTTATATCCAATGTGACATTATCAAAAACATTACCTCCTATTAATGTATTTTGTTTTTCGACTAAATATTATCGATTGAATGAAAGACCCTTTAGTAGACCATAATAATTAAATGAATCATTCATAATACAGGTTATTATTTAGGACTTCTGTTATTGGCATTAACCACAACATAATGCATCCAAATTCACTCATGAAAGAAATGTAATGTATTTCTTAATGTTTTCATTCTTTCCAAATTGAACTTTTTTGTTTCAGTTTGTTTTATTTCTTTCCACAACTCCAATAACAAGTTACATTTGATCAGATGTGCAGATCAACCTCCATGTGTAATTGTATTTCCTGTTTGTTGTTATTAAATACATTTAAACTTCTACTTCACATTTTTGACTGAAATTAATCGCTAACATTTCATCATGGTGTTTTATAATTATTGCTCTGCAACAAGACACACAATCTATTTTCAGACAATTTCCTGTTTTTATCTGAAATGGCTATCGGCCCCCACCCTTCACCAGTGGTCTGAGACAATTCAAAGTAAGCTTTACAGGAAACCCACAGTGACAAACATCCCCTCACTCGCTCAGCATGCAGAGAGACTGAAGCTGCAGATAGTGACCTGCTGAAGGTGTTGGTGGAATTAATCAGTGAACGCATCATAACTGTGAGATCAGATAACACGAGCTCTGGTTACACTGTGCAACAGAGCCATTGTTTGCAGACAGATGCAGAGAGTGGTTTCATACAAAGTCATATTCAAGATGTTCATCTGCACTGTTGAGTCTGAATAACATCTTCTGGCATTTTTGGATAGAACATTCATTGTTAAAAAAAAAAATGCTTCTTCTACTTATGTTTATATTTATCAATACTCTTTATCTATAGAGAAGAGTTTGGGCAGCTCAGAGAGGTTATGTGGTTCATTACATCAGAAGGAGAGATCTGACCCATTTTAAACACATCGTCCCTGTTTCCTCCTTGTTGGACAATGTTTTTCTTTTGCAAAAATCTCCAAAAACTGCTTTTGGGATAGCAGCGTTTAAAATAATGTTTTTATTTGTTTTTAGAGCAGACAATTGAAACCACACACACATATAATACTCACTCACAATCTATACCCCAAGCGGGTTTTGAACCCCCATCTCTGTGTCAAACGTGTGACTTTCACACTGGGCCACTTCCAGCGCAAAAAAAAAGTGTGTTCAGTTCAACGTGCCAATCACAACTGACATGTCCTTAAATAGAAAAGTCTGGGCAGGTCAGTACATCCAGCAGTAAGACCTTTCACGTTTTTCTTCATCAGGTCATCATCACAGATGGAAGGGCTTCGTATTGTTCTGGTCATTCTGCTAGGTAATATTTGGTAGACTCATTCAGTTTGAATATATTTTATTCATTGTGTTATATTAAATTAATGCGTTCATTGTCAGCGCTGTAATGAGCAGTAATCTGCATTTAGTGTAGTGGGATACACTGTGTTACTCTGTTGTAATGCACACTCATCACATTTATATTTGATTTTGTGATTGCTTTCATTTTGCTGTAGTAGTATCATGCACTCATGACTGGACCTCTGGATCAGAGTTGGAGATGACAGTCAGACCAGGAGACAACATCACTCTCTACTGTGACTGCAAGTTATCATCCGGAGTATACATCGTGTGGTACAGGAACTGCTCTCATGAGAACCAGCCTTCTCTTGTCCTTAATGTAAAAGCATGGAGAAGATACTTTATGGATATCAACTATTCTCAGAATCCTCTACCTCATTTCCACTTTGTGAGAAACTCTTCCTCTGAGTCCTATGACCTGCTGATCATTAACATCACTGAGACCGATGAAGGGCTCTACTACTGTGGAACTGAACAGTTTAAGGTGGAGAAAAACAAACACATTTACACACATGGCAACATCTCAACAAGGATCCATGTCAGTGAGTATGCTGTTCTTACTAATCGATTTATCTTAATTGACAGTATTAAAAAAAGCTTCATCTACTAAATGAAATCTTTCAATTTTGAGGCAAACTGAGAACAATTCAAATGTAAATCTAGATATGTATTAGTTCCAGATTCCAGCTCATGCCCTGACCCCGGTGGACACATTTTGAACCCTGTTGTGACCTGGATGATGGTGCTCACTCCAGCCTTTACTATTCTCACCTCCTTGATTTCCTTTATTCTGGTGTATCTCTTCTGTCAGAAAACAGGTACTGTTGTCGCACAATTGTTTTCCCTACTATTGTTTAAAAGAAATTATGTCAAATCTATTATTTATACCTAAAGGAAAGCTCTCATAGTGAACTATATTTTCATAGGTGCAGTCGGTGGTACTTTGTAATGTTGTTGTATTTTATTTTGCAGATAAGGATCCTCAAATTCTCCAGAAAAGACTTAACACCAGGATTCAAACAAGATGGGATCAGGTAATGAACACAGGACATTTAGGAAATGTACAAAGTCTACACTGATCTATAACAGCAACTTTTAGCAGTCATCTCCTCGTCAACAGTGGTTTCATATTTCACAGTTAGACATCTTTATTTATAACAGCAAACAATATTTCTAAATAACAAATGTCAAATGATCTCTCAGGATGAAGATTTGTGTTTCACACGAGTTGTGTTCCGAGCGAAGGATGGAAGAAAACAACAATAGACGGAAAATGGACAACAATATCACATTCACACTGTTTAGGCAGAAACAAACTAAAGTGCAAGGAGTTCAGATTCAGAAGGTTTACATTCATGTGCTCAGTTTAAGTATTCAATCCCTCCTGCTTTTCTTTCAGTTGTTGTGCCCATCTGTAATCAGACTTTTCTCACGGTAACCTTGTCATTATGTTATGTATACTATTAGATCATGAAGTGTTGACATGTTTTATGAAGATTGGGTTTATTGCCTCCTTACTTTCATTAAAATGAAATGTTCTTACTGAATAAGCCGTGTGCAAATAAAATATTATCATCAACTAACAAAACTGCTCCTTTTCTTTATTTATGAATTTGATATCATTAGATATAGTTGAATCCTGATAAGAAATTATCAATATAAGAAAGAATAATAAATACTTTGAAAGGATAGCAGGATGAACATTTTCAGAATTCCAGAAAACAGTCAAATTCAAAATATTTTTGATAAATATCACAAAGCCTACTTTTTATCAAAAATGTTCACTCATTGAACTTCTTTTTTACCACTTAAATAAGTGCATGGACCACTATTCGCTCTGTGAAGCAATTGTATTTTGCATAGAACCATTAACCATTTAATTGTTCTGTTCTATAACTGTCATTTAGATATGCATGTGATGAGGCTTGCAAGTCCAGAAGGGTCACATCATCATTGTGACATCAATATCTTGTTCCAATAGCTACTAATGCATTTTCCTGCCATATGTTGTTAAATTACAGCTGTGTTATAAAGCAATATGACAGTTAATACACCAGTTTTGTCTTTAAGTCTGAAAAAAACACCAATATTTCGACCAACAAAACATCTAGATAAGACATGTTCTCTTGTAGCCAACGCTGGGATGAATGATGTGGGCGATTGCCTCTTTGCTGATCAAATCTGACAGCAGGCATCCAATAACTCACCATTGGGATTTATAATAACTTGATTGTCCACACCAGTTAGAGGCATGACCCATTGTTTAAACAAATGCATATGTTTTATTACTTACATATTGTTGTTCATTATCTATGTATGCTTTTATAACATATGAACTGAAATAACAAGACAAACACAGTGCACAATGAATTTGAGCACAGACCACAGTCTTGTGTAGTGTGAAGTGATCGGTAAAGGCGTACAGGAAACCCACAGTGACAACAGCCTCTCATACGCATGCAGAGCTCAACATGCAGACAGACTGAAGCTGCAGGCTAGTGGTCTGATGAAGGTGTTGGTGCATACCCTCACTGTGTTTACCGTTTGTCAAACTGCATGCTAATCTCCTCCTGACCTCTTGTGGAGATAATAAGTAAAACACATACAAACAAAGCCCACCAGAAGAGGTTTGCCCTGCACTATACCCAACAGTTCAAACTTGATTATTTCTTGTAATCTTCCATCTAAAGTCCATAAACATGAGTTCTCAAAGGCTCAAACCTACATTTTCAGTGTTTCTGTTCTGGCTAACTAAGCGTTATATTTCTAACAGCTATTTTATGCATTCCGGAATTAAGGTGTATCGGCTATATGTTCTATTTAGTTTTGGAAAAAACATGTATACATAAAACAATCAATATTCTATTTAAAGGTTCCCTATACTGATTTTCATCAATATATTATAGGTCTCAGATATATACAAAACATGTCTCTGAAGTGTTTGGCTTGAAATACCAAACAGATCATTGTAGCATCCCATAAACCCCTCTGTTTCAGCCCTGTTTCAATAGTGCTGATTCTCTGTCTGTTACTTTAGATGAAAATAAGGAGCCACTCCCCACGCCCCTCTGAGAGATATTTGGTTAAAAAAACACAATGGTGCTCTAGGAGGAGATTCAGGTGATAAGGTGGGGGGGGGTTACCTTGGTTGGTGATTGGCTAATGGTTACACAAGCCAAAAAAATATTATGACATCATAAAGTGGCCAAAATCTGTTCAGCTCATTTTCAGACAGGTTTTTATAGAAATGGATCAGGACAAAAAGAGAGAGAATCTTTTTTCCTGAAACTTTCAGAATCTCTTTACACAGAGGGGACACATGTTTATGTATAAAAGACATGAAAACGTGGATTTTGCATAATAAATGACATTTATATTAATTCTTAAACTGCAATTTATTATGTCATATTGCTCTCACAAATGTTTAACCATGCTGGCAATGTTAAGATTCTTACTTTACTCTCATTACTTGTTAATATATCAACAACAGCCCTTTGTAATCTTACATTCATAGTCCAATAAAGTGCTTGTCCATGTAAAAGACAATCGAAAACATTGTATTCAGATATTTCTAAACAAACACAAAAAAAAAACGTCATGAATACTATGAATAAAAATAGACTTAAAGGTGGGGTAGGTAAGTTTGAGAAACCGGCTCGAGATACACTTTTTGTTATATTCCATGGAATGCTCTTAACATCCCGATAGCAATGAATATTTTAAGTGCTTTGACAAAAAATCCATAAAAAAATGTCATCTGTGGAAGCCGTAATACTGTAAAAAGTACGACCAATCATTTTAGCCGGCCTGGCTAAAATAACTGGATGGCCTACCTGCCTGTCAGCCTTCCATCTGTGCACAAACTTATCTCGTGCCCTCATTGGTCATGTGCGCGTTCGTGTGTGTTGGAGGAGGGGCTCTGTAAGGAAGTGGCAGATTTTCTCCGGTTGTGTATTTTCAAATTCTAGCGATCTCGAGCTGGTTTCTCAAACTTACCTACCCCACCTTTAAGGTTCTGCCTGTATGCTTGACAAAAATATAAAAGCAAATCAAATAAACAATTTGAAAATTCAAAATATGCAATAAGATGCACCCAAAAAACAGCTAGCAAGAAAACTATTCATAAGCATCTGGCAAATCAAAGGAGAACATTTTCAAAATGTGTGGGATGTCCAAGGCCGATCCATAGGATCAGAATGAGGACAGATTCTTTTTTAAATAGGTCAATATAGGCAATGTTAAGGTTGGTTGACCCATTTCCAAGCTTACAAAATAAATAAAAACAGGAAACAATGTGATAAAAACACATATTTTGTATCTATTTTAGCAACAATCTGAAGGCTGACCACACTTAAAGTATCCAAACCTTTTTCAATGAAAAAACAAAAACATTATCTATCTTTACAAAATATTACAAGAAAGCATTTAAAGTATTGCTTTCTTATTTGTTACATCATTCATATTAATTTGCTGCAGGCCATATTTTTGTAGTGCAGACCTTTTCAGCTTTTAAACATATTTAAGCCCCCTGAAAACGTGGTTTTAAATCCCAGCTAAATCCTGAGAAACAATATATAGTCAAGACTAAATAAGAAACAATACAATATAAAGTATCAGAAAAACATCCTTACATCGTTTTATTTACCGGGTCTAAACCAAAATAACTCAACTCTGCTGTAAGGGTGTGGTTATGTCATTTCATAATCAAAGAACCCCACAACTGTAATCAGATTATGATTATAACGTTATAAATCCGTAGCCTAGAAAAATTATATAGGGCCCATTTCAAAATTGCGAGAAAAACAGAAAGAAATGGACAAATACAGAAACTGTTTTACCTGGGTCATTACTTTCACTGAATTAAAATATGTTAATCAGTGCACTGTGAAAAAAACTCTCTATTCTCAATACTCATTATTAAAGGCATCAAACCCGGATCAGGATGAAAAATCTGAGATTATAAAATCACTAAATTAAAAAGTTTCTCTCCTGCAGTAAATGTTTTCATAGGAGGTTTATATTAAGTGTAAGCATTGTGTCTGTTATACAGAAGACAGCATCAACTTAATGTATTCCTTCAGCCATAGGCAAGCGTCAAAATCTGCATCCAAAATACTATATGGTAAGGTAAGGCAAGGCAAGTTTATTTATATAGCACTTTTCTGTACGCGACAATTCAAAGTGCTTTACAAAACAAATTGTATGACTGGTATCAACCATATTTCTACCTAAGACTTATATATAATAAATAAAATAAAACAACTTCAGCTCTCCATGCCAGATATTATCAATGAGGTTATGAAACTCATTTTCAAATTCAATAAAAAAATAAAAACACTGATTATCAGAGTTTTTGAAGACCACTTTGAGGCTTCTCTGTTGTTGACTCTTTCTTTTTAAAAAGATTTTTTAACCTCATAGATTTCTTGCTCTTTTCCTTATGCTTGTTCTTCTCATCTCCAGTCTCAGAGTGCAATGAAGGAGATGGTGGAGACAGTGGTGGCTCCACATCTGTTGAAGCAGAGAGGCTGGTCGGGCTTTTAGCCACGGAGTGGCAGGACTTCTCAAGGATTCCATCATACACAAGCTGGCTCAAAGGGCCAGTCAAAACTTCTGATGACGACTTCCATGGTACCTGGGAGGCTGCCATAAGGTCCGGCTGTCCAATTCTACCAGGAGATGAACTTGATCCTGATGCTCCCAACTCCTCCCTCAGTATTGAATGTTTAGGTATATACATTTGTACATCAACTGTGTCAATATCATCTCTTTGCATTCTTGGTATTCTTCTTCTGAGAGAACCAGCAGACACATCAAGTTCATCTCTTAGTATCCTTTTACTTGTTGACAACCCAAAATCAAACTCTTGCTTCTCTGTAGAGGATGAGGTATCGATAAGGGTTTCAAATCTCTCTCTGGGTAGCATTTTTAAGGAAGCAGTATCTGTGCAATACTCCAGCTCATCTCTAGATATCCTTCTTGATGGTATTCTAGTGGCTTCGATCATGTTCTCCATTGCTAATGCCCTCATAGAGGTATCAAGCTGGCAGTCTTCTTTATTCCATGGAAGCTTTTTAGAACCTGTGTCGAGGGACATTCCCATTGTATCTCTTGTAAGCCTTCTGGACAATGAGTCAAACTCAACATCATCCTGTGTCATCTTTCTTGATGCACTGTCCATTGAAGCCCCCATCATATCTCTTGATAACTTTCTAGGTCTAGGCTTCTCTGTTGTTGCATCTATTTCATTCCAAATAATCTTTCTCACATCCAGAGGTAAATCACTAACTTCTCTGTATACATTCCTTGAAGCAGTGTCAATCAAATCCTTAATTGTATCTCTCTCTACTTTCCTGACTGGGAATTCTGCATCCAACTCATCGCAAAGCACCTTTCTAACTGAAACATCCATGGGAACTTCACTCCTGTCCCTGGATTTTTTCCTGGATGTACTCTCTATTAAAGACTCTTCTTTGGACATTTTCAAAGAAAGGGTTTCTAAAGAACTGTTCAACTTTTCTTCTTTTGCCGACATTCTGCAGGAAACATCTATGGAAGCTTCAAGTTCTTCTACAGTAGTTTTGCGAACTGGACTTTCAACAACAGCGTCTGCCTCTTTACTCAAGGGCTTTGCAACGGAGCTGTCAGCATGGAACTCAATATCATCTAGATAGAGCTTTTGAGAGCAAGTGTCAACAGAAGGGCTAGGGAACATTTTGCCGAGAGGTGGGGAGATTATATAATCTGTGTCGTAGTACATCTCTTGGGAGTCTCTATTTGTGAGAGAAATACAATGAATCAATCAAGGAATGAACTAAGAATGTAGCAGAAATAATCAGTGCTTGAGCATGATCAGTGATTACAAAATAATAATGGCTATTTAAACGTTTTAGGCAGGAAGACGTACTGTTTCTTTAGAGTTTTCCGGAAGAGCGTCCCTTCCTCGCCGGGGTATGGGGCTCTGATAGGGATAAGAAGGTCGGGGTCCGGTGAGATCATCGCAGCCGGTGGATGAGTGACGCCCGAACGACGTGACCGACATATGGTGGATCCCCGTGTTCGAGGAGAGGCCTTCAGTGGTGACATTGGAACTAGAGGAAGGCCAAAGATAAAATAATCAGCAAAACTAAAACAACAGCAAACAACATCCACATTTGTCCATACAACCTTTCTAAATATATGGTTCTGGAAGCTTTGTGATGCAGGGAAAAGTCACCGGACGTTTAGGTAAAGCTACAAACATGTTTATCAGCTGGAACATGCTGGCGCTATTCAGGCACAAAAGCTTCTGTCCATAGCTGTACTGTTATACTCTGTAGAAGGAAAATATGATATATGAGCTTACAAACTAGTTAAAATTCAATCAGCAATCTTGCTAACGTTCAGTCAGTAACATCGTTAGTCAATTGGCCAAAGGTTCACATTTGTTTAAAATATCAAATGTTGTCTGAAAGCCTTGTTACTTGTGGATGTGGATGACATCTGTTACAGGGATTGATATCATATGTCCCTTGGTTAAATTAAGTATATACATACAGATATATTAAAAACAGAACCTGTGATGAGTGAAAAACAAAATTGAACTAAAACTATGCCAATCACATGCCTTGAACTCCAAACACATAGTGGACACTCATAGGGAACAAAGTAAAGAATCAAAAAGGACTCATTGCTGTTGCTTACCATGTTGTACGGCTGGAGAAGGAGGCGCTGTTAACAGATCCTCCATAGATCCATGGACGGAGCTGTGGCATGACCATGATGGTTGGGGCACTCTGGGAAACCCCAGGGCAATTGAGTCTGAGTAGAGCTGAGCACTGAGGTTTGCTATGCCAGGATTCCTAATTATTGGAAAGCCACAGACGCGCTCAATATACTGCCATCGATGGAGGCGCTCCCGTAAGCAGGCTGTTACTTCACACAAGGCATTCCTTTGGGATATATGAAGAGCGTTGTGACATATGTTAATTATTGACTGTGACAAACACAATCAAAACTTGCAGAGTGTATTTTGTGACTCACTTTGCCTCCAGGATCTTCTGGTCAACTTGGTCTAGAGAGGAGCTGTGGGCGACCTGGAGAGTCCCGAACACAGAACTCCTCTTCTTCTTAATCCTCTCCGCCTGTGAGGAAGTATGTGTGCAGGTCACTAAACCAAACTGAGGCTGCATGGCGGCCATGCTGATCATAGCCATGGTGAAATTCCTGCCTTGGCATTTGACCTTTGTGCCCTCAAAACATTTTTAAATCCTTATTGACCATTACTTCTAAATTATGAGATTCCAGGCCTGGTTATGTATGTAGTAATTTGTTAGAATTTCTGTACATTTTAATGCTTTTTTTAGGGTTTTGCAACTAATCAAGTAGAGTCACTGTGAACATTGGTGTGTTTTTCATGTCTGTCCCCCTTTTGTATGCATTACCTCTTCCTTGGCGATTGCAAGCTGTAATTCTGCTCTGTGCCTCTTGACATTGTAGTATTGGACTTCTACCTCATGTGTCAGCTGCAACCACAGCTGGAGGGTCTCTGAGGCATTTGAGCTAGCCTGCATGTCCTTCTCTGCCTGCTTTAGTGCTCCACGGACCTGAAGGGGTGGCATCAGTCAAATATTAGAGATCAGTTTGTAGACAAATTAATGAAAACTAATGTTAAAGATCTCCTATCATGCAATTTTTAGGCATCAGATATATAACAATAATATATAAAAACATATCTATGATGTGTTTTGCTCAAAATACCAAACAGGTCATGCATTTTAGATATCCATGAGGGATGTCTAAAATGCATGACCTGTTTGGTATTTCCCTCTATTTCAGCCCTGTTAGAGAATGGCTGATTCTCTGCTGGCCCCGCCCCCTTTTGAGCACGCTGTCACACTGTGAGTTCTGTGACGAGCAGGCTGTCTGCTCTGCTCAGATTCTCAGATAAATGCTGCCGTGATCGAACGCCATATCATGTTCCAAACCACATCAAAGATTATTTCTGAAACAGTATAGAGCTCAAATGCTTCTTTTCTTGAGGGTTTACCACAAGGTGAGTTATTTTCTTTATTTCCTGCTTTTTTACACATACTCTCTCCAGTACAGGTTAGCTCTGAGTGTTAGTGATGCTAGCTAATGTAAACAAAGACCATATTAAGCTGAACAGCAATAAAACGGAGCTCATGGTTGTGGCACCCAAGGCCCTGCTCCAGAAGGTTGGTGACTTCATCCTCGAGGTCGACGGCTGCTCCATCTCCCCATCTCCTGAAGCCCGCAACCTGGGTGTCATCCTTGACTCCACCCTTTCCTTCCATTCCCACGTCAAATCTGTGACCAAATCTGCCTTTTTCCGCCTGAGGAACATTGCCAGACTCCGACCATCACTCTCGGAGTCGGTTGCCGAAACCCTAGTACATGCATTTGTCACCACCCGCTTGGACTACTGCAATGGTGTCCTGTTCGGGGTTCCCAAAAAAACCCTGGACAGGCTCCAGTATGTCCAAAACTGTGCTGCTAGGGTACTCACACACACAAAGCCGTGGCAGCACATCACTCCCACCCTCATCCACCTACACTGGTTGCCGGTCAAGTCCCGTATATCTTACAAAGTACTCCTCCTTACCTACAAGTCCCTCCATGCCCTTGCCCCCCAGTACCTATCGGACATCCTTCACCCACATGCCCCACCCCGGAACCTGCGGTCCTCAGACTCTGGCCTGCTTACCACCCCGCGCACCAAACTGCGAACCTTCGGGGACAGAGCTTTCAGTGTGGCAGCCCCCACCCTCTGGAACGCTCTCCCTGCGGAGATTCGCAACATCCCCACACTCGACGCCTTCAAAACGGCCCTCAAGTCCCATCTGTTTGCCAAGGCTTTCGGCCCATAATCGATCTGTTGTTTTGTCTGTCTGACTTTTGTTTTGTTATGTTTGTTTTTGCCCTATTACTGTAAAGCGACCTTGGGTCCCTTGAAAGGCGCTATATAAATGCAAGCTATTATTATTATTATTAAAACAGTCTGCCATCGTTTCTGATAGCAACGTATCTGATAGGGCCGTGGGTGTAAAGCCAGCCCATATTTCCGATATTACGTCATATCGGACGCAAATCTGGATCCGTTGTACCCCCGTTTTTAGAGATGTGGGTACGGAGGAAAAGAGAGAGGGTTTTATTGTCTGACACTTTGTGAGTTCCCTGGTACACCGGAGACACATATTTAGGTATAAAATACATCAAAAAGTGCATTTTGCATGATAGGATACCTTTAAATTCCTTCAAATAACATTCACCTGTTTGCAACTTACAAATTATGTATCACTTGTATATAGACTCTTATGGCACTACTTCTATTCTATTTTATTGTATTTACTTGCACTATTTTATCTGTTATATTGTGTGGCACTGTTGGAGGAGCCTGTGACCTAAGATTTTCATCGACATAACTACACTATGTGCGAATTACAATAAAAGCCTTGAATCTTGAAATAATTGAAACTTTCCAAACTCTACCAAAGATGACAACATGACAGGTGATGACTAGAGAGTGCAGTATCCTGTAGTTGTGTCTCTACCTGCACCAGCTCTTCCTCTGCCCATCTCAGGCGGCTGAGTTCACTGACAGCTCCCTGCCTCAGCTCGTGCAGTCGGTAAGCCTCCTCATGCGCCCCCATGATCTCATCCCTCATCTTCTCCTCCAGGTTCTGTTTTTGCTCAGCCACATTACGTTTTTCTTCCTGTGCTCTCTCCAGTCTGAGGAAGTGAAATGTTTTAGGTGCAATCAAACCAAACTAAGTACATTCAGTAATGTAGAGTAAGTGAGAGATAACCAAATACTCACTGTTCCTGCATATCTAGGAGGCTCTGTTCAGCCCTCTGAAGACTTTCCAAATCTTTGATCATCCTGGCTATGTGGCATTTACTAGCTTTGTTCTGGGTCCCAGCAAACCAGCAGCCTCCAACTCCCATCACCACCGATACAATGAGCAACAGGTCCTTCATATAGTTATGAGGGGGACCTGAGGTGGAATTGGGAGTAATGATTATGAATTGTTGATTAATCATAACAAATAAAGGGATAGTGAAGAGTGATTTACACATAAACAAGTTAGCAACAAAATATTTGACATTCTCTTTTAATTGACACACTGTTTCAGCCTATTAAACCGCTGCACACTGGTACTTTTTGGGACACACAACACAATAGGGACAAGTCAGATGTTATCTGTTAGATACTGGAAACATCTGAAGAATTTGTAGGTATTTAAGCTAAAGTGGCAGGTTGGTAGAACAGTAACAGATACACTAAAGAGACAGTGAGAGAAAATGTGGTGAGGCCTTCTTACGTGTAGGAGGTCCAAACAAAACAACATCCAGAGCTTTGATGTTGAGCTTCTGTTTGTCTCTCTGGTCCTGAACCCTCAAATGGCCACTCAGAAATGCTGGCTCATTGGCTGCAATCCTGCACAAAGGTGTTAGAGTTTAATGTGTTGTGTGACCCTTCAAAACAACTGACTTGTTTTTAAAGTGTCTCGCTTGGAAGACACACAAGAGATCTGGCAGCAGTCAAATAGTCTTTTTTGCTTAGGAAGATTCCTAAATGAGTGAAGAAAAGTTGCTTCAACACTTCCATTCTTATCTCATTTAGCAAGGAGATAATCCCATCCCGTAAATAAAGTAGGATTCTCTTATTTCCACAGTTTTAAAGTCAAATATGAATTATTATTCTTAACATCTTCCCTTAACCCAGTGGTTCTCAAACTTTTTCTGTCAGGCCCCCCCTTTGGAGAAAAAAAAAAGTCGGGCCCCCCCGACACAAATAGTCAGGCTCAGTGGCGGCGCCAGAGATTTATTTTGGGGGTGCTGTGGGGTAGCTTGACATTTCATAGAGGGTGCTCAAACATTTAGGGTTTCCCATTAATGTACCGGTCGCTACAGTGGAATTTTCTACTGCAACGATCCCCACACATATACACAATGTACCCGCGACTGTTACAATGACGGCATATAGGTGTAAGCAGGGGTAAAGTGCTATTTTTATAAGTGGGGAGTGGACCTAACATAGGAGGGTCCAGGGGCATGCTCCCCCGGGAAGATTTGTTTTTAAATATTGAAGTTAAAAGCATCAATCTGGTGCACTTTGAGAGCAAAATGAAGAGATCTATGGATACCTCTCAACACCCATATGAAACAGAACTGTAAACAGATTTACTTTTTCTTTATTGATATTTTACAAATCACCCTTTTAAACTTTATTATTTTTTTACTGTCATATAGTATTTCATACCTGTTTTTCATTTATTCTCTTATTTTTTTATAACTATAATGATCATATAAACGTGTGCCTCGGAAATAATTGTTTACATTAATGGTGACCAAAACGTTTGAGACCCACTGAGATAACTTAGACTAAAGTTAACTATCTAAACACTGAGAGAGTCCTTTAGCTCACTGAGTCTCTCTGACAGGAGAGGACTCTCCTCCACTTTGTTGTTGAAAAAACTCCTTATAACCGTTAGCGTAGCTCGCTAGCACCAGAAGCTAACAACAACGATCTCCGGTACCGGTGCGCTCTCTCTCTCTCGCTCGCGCACGCACACAAAATGGCTCGTTCCACACACACACAGAGCCGAGATTTTATGAAACACAGAGACCCAGATGTAATAGTACTGTACTGTATCATATTATTTTCGAATCAATAATTTTTCAAATTATGATTTTTTTATTTTTTTATCTTTTATTTTAATTTTTTTTAAATAACCATTTTTCCTCCTGGTCTCTCGCGCCCCCCCTGTCATGCCTCTGCGCCCCCCACTTTGAGAACCACTGCCTTAACCACATGATGTATTCCATTGAGGTCAAGGGAAATTGGGGAAAAGATAATAAAATGTTAATTTATTTGACTATCTGATTGCAGCCTTAATCCCGGTTGACTATAGTATTATTTTTGGATATCCTCACCTGGGGAGTGTATTTCCATTGACCTTAAAGTCTTTAAAGTTCCTTTCATACTGGGGCAACTCAACAAAATCCTTCAGCCAGCGAACCACATCATCTTGAGTCCAATTATGTACTGAAAGTGAGACAAAGAATAAGATAAAGTAAGACAAGATAGACTGACACCTTGTGGAACAAACCCTGTCTCTCTCTTTCTCTCTGTCTCTCTCACACACACAAACACATACACACACACACCTTCAGACGACTTCCAACCCCTCCATAGCTCCTCGATTGTGATGTGTTGGTCTTCTCTGTGCAGGTGGCTGTGTTTGTTGGTCTGCTGCTGCTTCATGTCCTCGATTATGAACTGTATAACATAAGAGAGGGACAAAGGAAATATGTAAAAACTGAGAGAGTGAAGATCTCGACCAAGGCCTTTCAGTAAGTCCAAAAATAATCTGTGTGATTTGGATCCCCTCCAAATTTGGGACTCTGTCTTTAAAGTTAGTATTTATTTAGAACGCATGCAGTGTGAGTGTGTGTGTGTGTGTGTGTGTGTGTGTGTGTGTGTGTGTGTGTGTGTGTGTGTGTGTGTGTGTGTGGTGTGTGTGTGTGGTGTGTGGTGTGTGTGTGTGTGTGTGTGTGTGGTGTGTGTGTGTGTGTGTGTGTGTGTGTGTGTGTGTGTGTGTGTGTGTGTGTGTGTTATTGCTGTCTTGGAATGTGTCCTAGGCTGTAAACGGAGTCTTCATATGATTGCGAGAGGAATCTTGGGGCTGGGTTTTGATGAGCCCAGCCCCCTCCTGAAGTCTCTATGGCGACCGCAACCTGAGCCCCTGGATACTGTATCCCTGAACTGCATTCTATATGGCGAAAGTATTCTAGAATCATGGATTTACTACCAATGTCAGATACAACTTAAATCTCACAAACTCTTTGGAATAAATAATAATTAATTTTGGATATTTAACACTTAATAGTTATTCAAATGTGATCCTGAAGACACCTACTGTTGTGTGAACCACCACAAATGAGGTTTGTCTTTAGACACATTTTGTCAACAAGATATCCACAATAGGGTAAGTTGCAGTCCTAAAACTTCATTGGTGTGTTTGAGAATAAAATGAAGACTAAGTTAAAAGTAGGTGTGGTCCAATCAAGGCCACTGGAAATAGGGGGCTAGGAGGTTTTGAAAGGGCAATTGTGGCATTATGACTGGTGTGATCCATTACATTACATTACATATCATTTTAGCTGACGCTTTTGTCCAAAGCAACTTACAATAAGTGCAAAAACCACGAAGTTTCAAACTCCGAACAACAAGCAAAGTGCAGATATATTAACTTCAAGCAAGATCATACCATAGTAAGTGCTGGTGAATTAGTTAAAAGGCCTAAATTAACTCAAAAAGTTCTTTGTTTTTGATCCCATTTTTGATCCCATGGCATAATGGTCTTCAGTTAAAGAAAATTATTTTTGTAGAAAGAAAACTATGTTTAGGAGGTGCAATATAGTACAAGTATGCAAAAAGATCAGATACGATAAGATAACAGATGCATATCTAACCATTTTTGCAAATACAATAGTGAAATTCAGTCTTGTATTTGTCCATTAACTTATTGTTTTTTTTTGTCATGGAATTTCACTCAATTACAGAAGTTTGCTCAACTTAAATAATAGTATTTTATAGAATGTATTACATCACTGAGGCAAATCAATTCTTTGTTCAAGTTGTGTGGGACAACTATAATAAATTGGCTAAAGAATAAGAGACGCAGTGGTCAGGTATCATTAGGAGGAGTTATACTGTTAAGTGTAACTATGAAGGTCACCAGCTTTGCCGTGTTCTATTAGTGCAAACCAATTTTGACACTGAGCCAAAAGCAAAGTAATACTGTTGCTATCTTTGAAGTAGCATTTGACTCTTCCAGCAGCCAGGACACCTGTTGTTGCTTTGCCCTGTCTGTCTAATGCAAGAGCATACATGCAGGGCCAGCTAGGAAAACAAGGTAAACATGAAGGATGAGTTTTGTACCTCCACACTCTCCTCCACCTCAATCCCTCCGTCTTGATCATCGTCCATCATCTGATGGATGCTCCGAAGGGCTTCCAGGCTGTAGCGATCCGCCTCGCTCATACATGGTGGATATACCACCATGCAGGGATCTACATGTGACAGGAAGGCAATGACATTATATCAATTAGTATTATATTACACATATCAATCATATCAATCGTTTATTTTGTAGCAGTAATGGAGTGACAATGCTCGATTAATCATTCCAAATTCAAGGAGCAAAAATGATGTGTGAACATTTAGTTATCCATTATCTTCTGTACATCATAGAACTCTTCTCTTTTTGTATATTGTGAACTCCTAAACATATAAAAAAGAAAAACGAAAAAAAGTAAATGGCCATGGTTTCTCTTAAAACACAAACAATGTTTCGGACAGCAATTATTAATTGCATGTTTGTTAAAATAAATGGTCCTGTTAGATCAGTAGTTGAAAATTGTGCCAGACAATATGACACATGTAATCCTAACGCCCTCTTGATGCTGGAAAGGGACATCTGTTGCTAGGTACCCCTCTCTCTCCATATATGTTGTGACTCTGTCGATAACATTTAAATGCCACACAAATCTTAATTATTTAAAGGAACCATTTCTATATATGTGTACAAACATGGGGAATAACTATCTACATATCAGTTTAAGGATTTGTTGACAAAATAATTTCTCCTTAATATGCCTTTAGTAGCTATACATGGTCCTTGCTCTTTTTTTTTAACCACCATAATTAAGGAAAATATAAAGCTTTTTAAGTTAAGCATAATATCTGAGCCCAATGTTCAAATGTAAGTCTGAACCAGGGCTTTTATATTCATCTTATGCCACAATAGTGGAGTCAACAAGAGAGTCTCTGAACCAAGAGACTGACAAGTTCTGGCAAGCTGCTGTTTGTTTCTGTAGTGTCTATAGATCTAAGCAGACTGTAACAACTACAGTTTTAACCAACTGTGAAATGGAAACACATATACATGTAGACTGTAGACAATCACAATGCTTTTTAAACTCAATTTCTGTAAGTTATCAAATGCTGTTAATAAAACATAAACTACGGTTTTGGCCAATGAGCTTTAGGCTAAATCCTTAACTCCAGCGCTCTACAAGACAAGGTTTGCCAAACATACTTGTGCAAATGCCAGCAAAGATTCTCTAGAAAATCAGTCATTGTGGCCAAATGTACTTTTGTAATTACATGTTAAACGGTATGTGTTCCAGGCTCAATACAGGAACACTAATAAAGGAGAAGATGACACAGCTTTTCATCCTCGTCGTGAGTCAGAGCCCATTTTTGTTTCTGTGACTGTGTTATTTGGTTGCTCCAATGAGCTGAGGGGACAGGGGTCAAAGGTCTGCTTGTTAAACCCACTGTCAAAACCAGCTCGAGTAACATACAGTATGCTACTCTCCATCCACAATGTAAGGGGAAAACAAGGGATGTGAAGTGGCTTCAGATGAAACCTGTGAAATATTTTTTCTTGGAACATTTTGCAAAAAATGTCGTCAATAATGTCAAAGTAGTATAGTTTTAAGTCCAACATGGTGCTGTAGTAAAAAAGCACCAGATTAAATGATGCTAATAGACTAGTAGAAAAGCACCAGGGGTGCAGAGAAGGTTTTTTCGAAAGTTTTAGAAATAACACAACATGAACAGAAGGGGACAAAATTGATCAAACTGATTCATTATTCGGCTTATTCTCACATAAAGGATGAATGTATAAAGACATTGATCCCATCATAGTTGCATTTCTCAACAAGGAGGAGACCTCCCAGCTTGGCATGGCTATCCAATATCAATGGTCTAAGGCCCTCTGGAAAGTGCGTGTCTGAGTGTGTTATCTGTGTCCCTGTGAGACCTAAACATGACCCGAGTTTCAGTCTTTTCACAGGTGAGCTGTTAGGAGACCTGGGAACATGAGAGGAGCACAATGCAGCCAAGTTAACTAGTTATGATGTTACAGTTTTAGAATAAAAACAACCCAGACAAGGTCCAGCAATATTTAGAGTGTGAAACGTTTTCTGAACATGTCTTCACATATCTATATCTCTACATGTCATTTTGGCAATGACACAAGAACACATGTTAACAAAGGGTGTTCTTGTAAAGTTGGCTGCATTGTCTCGAGTACAATGACCTGTGGAACAGTGCTTTAAAATAAGGCAGTTCATCTTTCAGAGTCATCAAAATGGAAAAAATGGACATGAAAACAAGGGCTTTCTTTCAAGTCTAATAAATAAACAATATTTAGGGCTGAAACCAACATGGTTAAAATGTTTTTGAATGGGTTACCACCATGTGCACAGTTAGGATACATTTTTTCTAATTTGAATGCAAAATTGGATAAGTTAGAAATAGAATAATGCAAAAATACAGAAGCATGACCGTCTGCCTTTCTCAGCCATTGTAGAGAAGAGATTGAAGTTAGGCCTTTAGTCTAACTTTTGGAACATTATTGGCTATGACAGTGCATATTTGAAAAAATGCAACTATAGGAGTGAGAGCTGATGTACAGCTTTCCTATATACATTGGCTCTTCTGTAATACCTGTTGGGTCGAATCCTGCGCTCCCTCCGGGGAAGGTGAAGCCCTGGAGGTCCCCAGCGCCTTGCGCGACCACAAAGACCGCAGCGGGGAACACGAGGAGCAGAAGGGGGGACAAGGGAAGCATTTCAGATGGTAGATAATCCTGTTGTCCAGATTTAAGAAACTCTTTCAAACAGAAGGAGTAAGAACATACACAGTAACAACCCCCGTTTAGGAGGCAACGCGGTCAGTCAGCGACAGCCGTCAAGCGATCCGAGTTGCTATTACAGGGTCAGCCTTGCAAGCGAGATGTGATACCGACGATTCACTTGAGAAATCAGGCAAGTTGGGTAATTGGCACTTCGAATTGTATGAAAACGCGAAGAAAGTTCCAACACGACTCCAACATGATTTGTACTATCATCCGAAGAGGTCTGTGCGTAAAATACTCCAAATATGGTCTTTGGTATTCGGGCAAAATAAGAGACAGTGGTATTATTAATCCAAACGTGGCCTAATAAAAAGTTAGAATAAAAAAGTCCTGTCGCTCATCCATCATTATTAAAATCCAGAGTCAAAATTGCACTCAGAAACAGATTTTAAGTGTGCCAATGTTGTTTAAATATGTAGACAAAATCAGCCTATAATCCTGCTCATGGTGAAGATTTCTTCCCTGCTCCTTGTTGTTCCTGTTGGAGTCTGTTTGGGTCTCTTTATAAACCTGATAATCGGATTTGTCCAGTTCTCTCTTCTGTCACCACTTTCCCAAAAGAGACGTAAGAGTTGTGACGTTCATACCCACCTCTTGTCTCCCTCACTCCCCCCCACTCCCTCTCTAGCAACAGGGGCCCTAACACTTCCTCATGTTTCCTAACCCAGCCTCCAACCCAGACCATGGAGCTGCAGTGTTGATCCAGTGACCTCGATTTGTAGATATACCTAGTCTATTATTTGTAACAGAACTGAGCAGCTGCTTGTAACCCACCATGTGGCACAACAACAGAACACTCAATCATACCAACTGGTTTTTACTATCCATTCTCTTTGTGTGGCTTTATTGATCCTGGTTTGGGCGGAGGATCAATTTAAAGGCTTTAGATCTCACTGTGGGGAAGTGAGTTTAAGAGTATCTTGCCGGGAATAGCTTGTCATATGTCCAGTCAAGGCCAGGCTGTCTGGGTCGCCTGACACTTGTATGCTTGTTCACAGATCTTCAAGCTATGTGCACAGACTTGGTAAATGTTTGTGCACCTGTTCATGAGGTTTCTGGTGCTATATATGGCTTGTCATTTAATCAACACACTCAGACGCAAACAGTGTATCTCCTTAACTTGAATTACTAGAAACGTTGAGAGTCGGAGGGACACAAACAGACCGCAGGACTACACATGCACACAAACAAGCACATCACATTCACACACTCTTAAACAGATACAAAGTATCAGGTTTCATTCCAGAAATTCAGCCCTGAGTTTAAAAATAGTGGGCCTGTGGAGCATGCCGAAAGCGGCACATGTCCAATAAGGCCTCTCCAGTATCCGAGTGTGTGGACTATATATGAATTTACCAGGATTGCATCTAACCTTTAGCTCTGTTTCTACTCATTAATGATGATGAAAAATAACCACAAAATACAAAACAAAAAACATTTGTACAAGTGATATTCAGCTTCAGCTTGTTTTTATTCATGACCTTTTACTAAGAAACCTTGCCAGATTGATTTACTTATGAAAGACTAACACACCAGACTAAAACTATGGTGGGATGATCATATAGGGAAAGAGCAGTGGACATCAAAAGAAGGATTAGAGTAAAGACACTTATTCAATAAACGAAAAAGCCATGGAAATACTCATAAAGCTGCCAGTGTAACATGTTACCGTTGATTTACCATGCTAGTTCACAGTTGACCTTATGACAGGACTGACTTACATCACACCTGGCCTTGTAGATAGAACATGGAGACTTGACTGCCAGAAACATTAGCATAAGGCACAGTAGGGGGAAAACAAACAGGGCAGAACAAGGATCCGGTGACCAAAGATTCAATCATTTGGAATGAGCAGAGATTGTATCAAGTGTGACCACATCGCAATAAAAGAATAAACAAGTTGGTGATGTAACTGAATCAAATCAAGAGATGGTCCATCAATCTGACTGTTGTTTAGAGAGAGCACGAAAAGAAATGGAGATTAGTGTTCAGCTGGGACTTGATGGTACAACAAAGGAGAGTTTGTTGTACAACCATAAATGTACTTCTTAGGCAAGCTTAAAACAACATGCAAAGATCTACAGCTGTGTCATGAAAACTGACAGTGAGCTGGTCAACCTTCCACATGTACTTCAACTTTACTTGAATTTTGGAACAGTATGACAGAAAAGCCCGATACAAATCAGGATTTTGTGTGAGAACTTTAGGCAAAACAAATTGTGTAGGTAGGTTTTTTTTTTAAGGCAAGGACATCTCATCATTCCCAACTACTTCAGTAAGTCAGTTCAAAGTCATTTTGTATTCAACCGACTGAACGAGCTAGGTTTTTAACTCTGTTCATGTCATTCCCAAAAACTCAACCAATTCTGATTGTATTAAATTGAGTTTTAGTGCTTTTGCAGTCAGATGCCATATTTCACAAAACCAGGTTCAACGAAGTGCAATGGCTACGTTTGGTGCATGTGTGAAGCCAGGGATACCAAGCAACAATGTTAAAGCTCTTCTTCCAACACATAAGCACACACTCAAAAGAAAATGTAAGGGCGGCCCTATGCGAAGAAATACATCTGTAACATGACTAGTCAGATAATACTTTTGACCTCTTTTCTTTGTTCTTTGACTTAACGTAAACTCTGTACTTTGTTCAAAGGATTCTCTAATGTACATGAAGAAGTACTGCTGTGTGATAGCTATAATAGAAAGAGAACTGATTATGTTTAGACTTGAGTTTAAGCACTCTGATACAAAAACAGCACGCTGATTGGAAGCACAGGTTTCCCAGAATACACTGACAGTTTACACATACACTACTTATCAAAAATGACATCTGTTATAAAAAGTTGGGGAAGGTTTTTGAACTTAAAGGTGGGGTAGGTAATTTTGGAGAAACCAGCTTGAGTGCGCTAGAATTTGAAAATACACAGCCGGAAGAAATCTGCTACTTCCTTACAGAGCCCCTCCTCCAACACACACGAACGCGCACATGACCAATGAGGGCACGAGATAAGTTTGTGCACAGATGGAAGGCTGACAGGCAGGTAGGCCATCCAGTTATTTTAGCCGGGCCGGCTAAAATGATTGGTCGTGCTTTTTACAGTACTACGGCTTCCACAGATGACATTTTTTTATGGATTTTTTGTCAAAGCACTTGAGATATTCATTGCTATCGGGATGTTAAGAGCATTCCATGGAATATAACAAAAAGTGTATCTCGAGCCGGTTTCTCAAACTTACCTACCCCACCTTTAATGACCTAAAGATTTAGACAAAACTCAAAAAGGAGTCAACATGAAAAAAAATCTATTTGGTAACAAAAGTGAACTTACTATGCAGTATCATAAAATAAAAAAAGTCAAATGTACCTCGGCAAAAGCTTATAAAATATAATATGAATAAAATAATATAATATTCCTTGGTCCGTAAAAACTATGTTACTCTTACAACAAATGTTTCCCTTGCACACAGCAGATGAATCAACAAGACCTGTTCAGCAAAAACGTGATCTCAGTAGAAAGAGAGCACAGCTGAAATAGCTTCCCACAGGCGTATAAAAAAACTAAATTATTGTTTCTTGTACAAATCCGGTTGTTGTGAGCGTTACATGGGGCATTTTCCTTCTCTTAGCTGAACATCTTGAATATCGAGGTCCTTTAAGTGTAGCTTTTGAAATGTCCAAAACAAACCAGTAGAGGGAGCTAAAGAGAGAATTCAGTATTCTCTTTGTCCTTGCTTTTTTTCTCCAACTTTTCTTTAGCATTCCCAATGATCACAGTTGCTCTCTGATGAAGAGTTTGTGAGTCTGTGTGCATTTCTTCACAGGTCCATGAGCTTTTCTGGCTCAAAAGCATATGCACACATGTTCTCTCTCAGCCGTTCAAAGCACAGACAGATTGACTATGACAGTAGCGACATGGTGGACGCCCCTGACGACATGCCTGAGTCACTACCGTTGTAAGCCCCATGGCCGTCCCCGAGCCCCCCCAACGAGGATGAAGGGGAAGATGAAGATGCCGGTGATGATGAAGAGGTGCTATGTGTCCGCAGAATGGCCCCAGCAGCACCGCAGTGGGGTCTGGGCCCAGGCTCAGGGGTGTAGGTGAAGGTGAGGGCGGTGGAGTAGATAACTCCATCGTTGCGGACTAGTGTGACAGGGACTTGTACCGGCTGTCTCACCCAGCGCCAGCCCTCCCTGAAGGCAGAAATGTCCGGCACCACACACAGGACGCTCTCTCCACATCTGAGGGGACAGACGTTTGAGACAGGGTTTGAATATTCAAAGATTCAAAGGTTTTAATGTCATATTCACAAAGCTACAGTGTAGAAATGGCAATGAAAATCTTATGACCTGAGCTCCTCCAACAATCCAACATATATAATAAAATACAAAATAAAAAGTAGTGCAAAAAGTCTATATACATGTACATAGAATATGATATGTACAAGAACAGAATATTAAATAAAATAATGTAAATTAAGACAAAATTAAATACGGTTTATTGTGTTGATAACTATTTATATAAATAAGTATATTGCAAGATGACATCAGGAATGTTTATCGGGGCACTTAGCAGAGCTCAGGTGTTTAGCAGTCTTATTGCCTGTGGGATGAAACAGTCCCTGAGTCTGGTGGTTTTAGTCCGGATGCTGCGGTGCCGCCTGCCAGATGGCAGCAGACAGAACAGTTTGTTGCTGGGGTGATGGGGGTCTTTGATAATCCTGAGGGCTTTCTTCCTGAGCCGCTGGGAGTAGAGGTCCTCCATGGATGGCAGCTCCGTCCTGGTGATGCCGTTACTCACAAATGTTCACACGGAGAAACAGAAACTTACCTATACATGGTGTCAGCCTCCACATCTCCAAACCACACTCTGAGCTTGGGGGTGAAGTTCTGTCCGGTCAGCTCCAACATCGCCACATCTCCTCCCCCGTTTAACTTCACACAGACATACAAAAAAAAAGGTTTTGTCTTTAAATGGTCCCTTAATGCTGAGTAAAAACTGAGAGAGGAAGTGGTTGGTAACCAGCACTTCAGTTGGTTGATAAATGCATAACAGACATTTTTTCTTAAAGAAATGGTTGCATGCATACCTGCAAAGTCTCCACCACAGGGACAGGTGTGACCGGTGTTGGGACCGGTCCCATTCCCTCGTAAAAGGTGTACTCTGCCTTGTCAGTGCTAATGATAGTCCAGGAAGCCCCATCGTTTACATTCTCCTTGTTCGTCTCTTTGGAGCACTGTGTGGCCTGGGAGGGAGAAAATAAATATAGAAATACGTTTCACTTCCCACTTGCACATATAACAAGAGAGAAACCCACGTGAGTTTAGATAGGCCGCTTGTCGATGACAGGGATAAATATAAGACTCTCTTCTAACGCCTTGGGATGCTCATTAAAACAAACAGGTAGACATGTAGCCTGGGTACTAAATTCACAACACATACTTGCTGTAGGCAGACATGTTCTCTGTAAAAGCCCCGTGTTTTATGGTAAGTAACAATTAAAAGAGTATAATTTTAAAATGATTTGATTCAGGCAGAATTTAAACTCTTACTCAAAACCCCAATTCCAGCCCATGTGTGTAAGTGTGTGCGTTATTACACACCTGAAACTGGATGATCCTCTCCTGCGAGAGACAGAGATACATTTTGTCTGTATCTTTCAGGTAGAAGGCACACTTGTGAAGCTGGGACACCGGGTCATCTGCGTCCATTAATGCAGTCTGCTTGTCTACTTTACGAATGACCTGGGAAATGAAAACAAACACACCCATCATAAGTAAACAGAGAAAGATAATGCATATATGTGTATACATGCAATTTAACACAAACATGTGTGTGCAGTTGAAATACATCAGAGACATGACTACATAGACGGTGCGTACCAGTCTCGGCAGGGCCATGCCAGTAACAGAACAGACCAGTTTGACTGTCTGGCCATAGTGAATATAGCCGTCTCTCACAGCAAACTCCTCTCCCTCAGACTCCTCCTCGTCCACTAGGAAACGAAACAGAGCATAACAATTATGTAACTTTCTCTTAACCTTTAATAGGTGCTCTCTATCAGTCAAGGGACAAATGAACATCAATGAAAACAACTGTAAAGACCACAGAGAAAAAAATGTAAAGTGAAAAAATGAACCACAGATAAAGACTTACAGAGGTGGATGTAGAAGGCTCCCCACTGTTGGGAGCTGGCGAGAAAGTTCCCCCCCTCCACATGAAGATACCTGGTACTGACTGTCTGGGAACGCAGGCGGTTAAACAACGCCACCTTAGTCCCTGAAGCTATACACACTGGGGAGAAAGGAAAAAGGGTAAAGGAAGAGAGATAAGTGTCAGTGTGTAGTGAGACCATACAGCTGTCAAGCATCAGCTAGTGTGTATGTGTGTGTTAAAACATCCTGTAACTCACAATCTGCATTTTTCAAGGACTGTTTCTTCTTGGAGGGCTTGGAGATGACCTTGATCCTCTTGCTGAGGAAGACTCCTATGTTGTCGCTGTTCCCGTACAACATCTTCACAGACAGCATGAAGTGTTTTCTTTTGTCCGAGTCACTGATGTACAGAGTCTTAGCTGTGCAGAAGTGCTAATGCAAGGAGAAAGATTAGGTTAGGGGTTTTTGTGCATTTGCGCATGGTTTTGTTTGTCCCCCTTTCACCTCCCGCTTTTCCCCTTATAAGAGTAATTTGTTGGCATTGGTGCAATAATAAAACACAAGGAAGAACATCAGTGCCAGTGCATATGTGCAGTGAAAAACAGAGGATATGACAAATAGCTAATTAATGCAACTGTACATTTTATGGTGTGGTTACTTTGCGTACTTTGCTAAGAGTGAAGCTGAGCAAAGGTAGAATGGTAGGAACTTAGATAATCGTGAATTAATATATATATTCATATGATTGACTTCAAAAAAGCTGTCAAAATAGAGCCTTAGCATGAATAAAACAGCTATTATCATATGAATGTAGCAGACTCACACAATATTGCTTTCTTTTTATTGATTGTTTATTTATGCAGGGGTAACTTATGATTAATTATTAACTCATTCAAGATCACTGATTTTACTGAAAATTATGTTCACTCAAATTATTGTTTTTTTAACTAAATATTAGGTTTATAAGCATATTTTAAGCATCAGGATACTATTGTGCGTCAAAATGATCATGGTCAGGATACATTTGAAATAAAATATTCATATTGTCCCATGCCTAATGGGAAGACTTTGTTAACAGTGACGATTACCAACATCATAACATGGAACCATAATTAAAACCCCTTTAATATTAAATGTATAAATGCCAACTCACCTTTCCCTCCAGATTGAGTTGCTGCATCTCCTGCTCGCTGTTGCCTATCCCGATGAATGCACATGGCTGGGCCTCCTGCTCCGTGCACCCCTCCTTCTCCATATTCTCCAACTTTTTCTTCCAGCCACTGCCCATCAGGTACACACATGGTGGAGGGCAGAAAAACCTAAGAGACACAAGTAGGGTTAAAAAACATACAGTACAGTTTTGAACATTGATTTCTCATCTAACAAACTTAAACTTGAGTTTAGATTTATAAAGTAATATAACAAATCATTGATACTGTATATAAAGTATAGAAATATGAGAAGTCCTAGTCAAACCTTTTTTCATTGCCGTAGGACTTTTGTGCAACTTTTGCATGTAGTATGATCACAGTTTGATCATTTTTGTCCTTCAAGTAATTCCTCATAGCCTCCCTGAAATGAAGGAAAATCATGTTAACACTGACAGAACAAATTGTTCTAACATTTAATGCAATCAAATGTAATCAAGTTGTCCCAGTTGTTGTGCTAGATTTAAAGAGTTTGAGATGTATGCACTGTGTGGGTTGCCATTCTGCTTCTGCTTACCTTGTCAAACGCTGAGGTCGCTCACCAAACTTCCTGCAAAACAAAAACATCAGGGTGCAAGGTGTTTACGTGGTTCTGCTGCTGGGCTAATGTATCAGATAAAACAATAAGCCTGACTGAAAGTGAAAAACTGAGTGACAATGTGCACAATGCTAGCGAGTAGCGACATCTGTAAAATGCTTATAATATCCTATTGCTTTATGAACTCAGATACACATGTAAACTAAAGATAACAAAATGGTTTTGCCTTTTGTTTATAGTATGTTTTTATACTTGTTAAGGAAACTCAGTATACAATAAGGAAACAATTCAGACAGATATTTAAATAATGGTACTAATAGCACAGCAAATGTTGTACAATGTGTGCAATGACACTAATATATATATTTGATACTCATTGTCACTGACCATTGTCTTTAAAGGGTAGTTTTTGAGCAGTTTGTAAAGCTATTATATTGTTGCTGTGCGTAACCTGTTGAAACCATTTACTGTCTATGGTTAAACCACACATTACACAAATACAGAAGAAGTAATTCAGTAGAAAAGTAAAACGTTTGACTGACAAAAAGTTTCTTAAGTAGTTTGAAACATATTCAATATCGTACAACTCCTCAAATGGCAGAGAAAGCAGCAATACTACGAAGAATACTTTGGCACAACTGACCCCACATCAAGCCTCAAAGTAGCAATGCGTGGGGTCAGCTCACTGAGGACAAGGCAACACTCCGAACACCCCGAAGCATCACTCAAGAACACTACTAACTACAAACGGGTTAACACAAGAAAAAAACTTTTTTTATATCATTATGCTTTGAATTTCAGCACTTACCCCGTAACAACGGGCGCCATCTTCCAAAATAACTCTCCCCCCCGGAAAAAAAAAAGTCCAACAATCGCGAGATCCCTCCCCCAGCTCCCTCACCAAAGCCAACGGCACAACAGGAGAACCAGACTGGAAGGAGAAGCAGGAGAGAAAGAGGGGGAGGTGTGACGGGGCAAAGGGGTGAGAAGAGGGGGAGGGAGTGGCGACGGGCAGAGGGCAGACGCCTAAACAACAGGCGTGGGAAAGTTACAAAGTCACGCGAGAACTCAAAAACTCTCACAATAGACATAAATGAAAATCGACCTTTTCTATCGCGAGATGAAGCGGCTCTCTCACAACTTGCTTTTTTTCACAAGGCACCCACACTGTAACTCGATTCCCACGCCTTATTGAGCAATAAAGCTAAACTACACCTCTCTACGGTGAAGAACTTCGAAACACAGCTTGAAGATGATTAAGTGTTACGTAAGCGGTAACACCAGGAATATAAATTATTGTTTAAAGTCTTCATATGGTCTTTTTATACTATTCTTCCCCTGATTTAAAGGCCCAAAGGGTGATTAGAAATAAGTTCTTAGAACAAAACTCACTCTTAAATTCAAACTCAAAAAGTAACAACTTCTTGGAACATATTTTATTATATAAACTTATATTCAAATGGTGATTATAAAAAATAAATGTATAAAAGTGTGGCAAAATTCATTCTTAATTTTAGACAGTACTTTCTCTCACAGCATTCAGATATTATACAGATTGAATGTATGATTTTGTAAAATGTGGTAATGAATTCATATTTATGTTAACTGTCAAATGTAGAAATGACAAATGATAACACATTTTTATAGTAAGAAAATACATCAAATATGTATTTTTAAATCGCACAATTACACATGGGCACCATACAGTATCATTGCTTTCTCATCCCACACTTAACAAAAAGTAAATATAAAAATGAAAGGCAAATCATTTCTGCCAATACTTTCATCACAAAAAAGAAAATTGTAAAAATAAAAACGATAAATTCTGCAAATTTGACAACTTGATTATAAAGATTATCTCATGGACATGCATGCTTCTGCACTGACCAAAATGCCAAGCAAGCAACCTCTGGTGGTTTTCAAAAGTCATCTGACATGCCCTCCTTCACTTCACGCAGCATTTCAAATGGAGAAAAGACAGCCAAGGACAGATATATTGCAGATGTTTAACTTTCCATTTAAACATAGCTTTAACTACAGTTTCCCCCCTTGTTTATATAGCATTCTCTTGATAGTACATCATTTAATGTGTCGCTCTCACAAAAACCCACTTCAGTTTTCCGACTAATGCAACAGTATTTGTGGCAGCACGGACTGTCCCAAGAGGAAGTCAAGAAGGGATTGGTAAACCACTACTTTAACACTCTGCTGCTGTAGTCTGTGGTATAGGATGAGGAATTGAAACTAGCATCTATAACATAGTACAATAACAATAACATACTCCTCAAATGTATGAACTGTTCTCTGACGAGTTCTTCCTGAGTCAGTTAAGGTATTTGGCCGGGGTCCGCTGCTTCATATCTGAAGATCTTTGGAAAAATACTTAAAACATGTATGGTTGTGTAAAGTATTGGCTGAAAAAAGTAATTACAAAAACTGAAAAAATATTTGCTGTTTAAAGGCTACCACAAATGTTCAGAGAACAGATAATCATCATAGTTTTGATAAAATAATCTCTCGTTTCCAGCTTTCCAAATGTCGTCAGATTTGAACTCCAGCAACTGATGTAAACAATGTCCTCTGATATTGTTGTTGGTACGTCCCATTCAGAGGCTCAGCTATTAAATCTTCCAGAAAATCTTCTTTCTGTGGAGCACGTAGGCGATAAAGACCCAACAGGAAGTAGCCACAAGGTTCTGGGTGAGGTGCTCAGTGTGGGATTGGCTGTTGGACATGTGCCAACGAAAGGGGAAATACTCCTCGAACACTTCATGACCCACGTACACAAGGATGGAGTTCATACCTGTAAAAATGCACACAAGTCACACAGTTCAACTAAAATTCGTAAACATGGCAGATCTAGTCAAAGTCAGCTTTATTGTCAAGAATTCTACATGTTGTACATCCAGAAATCTCGAAATATCGTGTGACATATATACATCAAACAAAAAACAAAAAGGGCCAAGATAAACAATGTGTTTAATGTGTCTAATGTTTTGTCCTCAGGCAGAAGTGAGACACATCAGTTATTATGTAGACTGAAAAATGTGCTATTATTGAACTTCCTCTTGGAAAATACCCTTGATATGAATTCAAACTAAATGAAAATACTGAGCTAGCGTGAGAAATGGAAGGTCGAATCCGTTTACAGTCGGTATATACATATAAAATCATGCCCAATGTACACAATTCTCATTGTGAAAATCAGCTATTGATCCTCAGTGTATATTTGACTATACAGGGCAATACTTACCAGGATAGTAGAAAGGTGCTCCAGACCACCACTTCTTCACATCCACTGTGAAGTACACCAGCACTAGCAGCACGTTTGCAAAACAGGCCAGCGTTGTCACATAGGACAGAGACCTAGAAGTGAAGTTAACAGACACAAGCAGCATTATTAAACAAGTTATATTGCAAAGATTTGTATCTCTCTAAGTTTAGGAATGTTTCAATTGTATTTAATTTCTCTCTGTAGCTTGTGCTGAAGGTTAACTGCTGACTGTGCCGATTAGGCAACCAGTGTTGCCTTTTAGTAAAATTCCAACTAGTAACACTCTTGAATTCATCTGTTTTCTGATTACTTTTTTGGTGGATGTTAAGGAAAAGGGAGATAGCTGGCTAGGAATTAAGCGCAAATTTGGAAACCAGAAAAATACTGGAACTTTGACAATAATACCTTAGTTGTAATGTAATTGTCCACAAAGCTCAAAAAGTAGTCTTTGGCCAACATTATAAAACATACCTGCCTACACCAGAACAAGCCACAATAAAGCTATAAAGTACTGTAAAACGCTTGAAACATAAGACCTATGAACCAAATACATCAGATGGGGTGGTAAACAACAACCAAAGAAAAGCTTGTTATGTGTTCTTTAAAACTTTCTTAAACTGTCTATTCCTTGAAAGAAGCGATACAGAAAAAGGCAAAACTTGTAACATCTGAAGGAGCATACAGTAAAATCAAACTTTACCATAGGTTCTTGTTAACAGGGATGAAGCCATGGTCAGTGGAACATTTGGTCAGAGCTGCAGATATGGCTCCCTGTGTGTCACAACAGACATTATTATTCACTAAGGATCAACATTGTCTCAGCATTGAAACTGAGAACCTGTTTAACAAATCAGTGAAATGTTTACTTATCTGAGGTAACAAAAAACGGATTCATGTGTGCACATACTGGAGCAGCATATGATAATGCTTATGACAACTTGTTATTGTACTCACCAATAACAGACCCCATATAAGGAACCTTGAAATGATACTTGTGTGGAGATCTCTGTAGTGTAAGATTATTTTTCCTGCCTGGGGACAATTCAAAATGTTAAAATTGGAATCTGTTTAGTTGTTCAAATAAGCTTTCTTAGTATCAATTTTGACATCAAAATACCGATATAAGCAAGAGACAAAAGGTAAGAGAAACCAACAAGTACTACAACAAACCTGTAATCCAAGGAAAGCCATGAGAATAGAGTTGATGCTACCGAGAACACCTTCTGGGTCATATGGCATATGAGTTGCATAAATCACCTTTATTTAAAATGGGAACAGAAAAAATATTTTTGTGAATAAGTTAAATGTATCATTGCATCACCTGTGATGTAAGCATTGTGGGGCTAGCAATTGTGCATGGGCCTCTTAGAGGAGGGAAACCTTATATGTAAGCTCAAGTTTCACATCTCAGGTTATAAAAAGACTAAATGTGTCTACACCCGGTATGTTTGAGTTGTTGTTCTGGTCACTAACCCGTGACGAGGGAGTCTGGTAGATGTGGCTTTCTCCAAGAAGCCATCTGTCAATGAGACGAGCAGCTCCACCGGTGCAGTTAGCGTACAGGCCCATGTCCCCGATCCCACCTGGACCCAGATAGCCTCTGTTCAGGAGAGTCGGGAAGTCAAGTGTTATCAATGTAGGATAAAGGGTAATGAGAGCAAAGTTAATAATTCAAAACAACCCAAAACTAAGGATGGAATTGTTGGGGTTTCTATCAATACTGCTTTAAATCTGGATTATGCTAGATGTTTTTAATTGTGATTTGCTAATAAATTATTTTACAATACCTTGTTGGCTTTGCAATTATCTAAACATATTTCAACGACAGAACATGTTTGGAAGTCTAAAACCTGTACCTGAAGCTAAAATTGAATACAGAATGTAGTGATAGTCAAACAGAATTGCCAAAGCATTTCACACAAACACAGGGGCTGGGCTTGAAACCAGAAGATCACCAGTTCCAGTTCCTAAAGGGACCAAGGATATAGTGTGGTCTGGATCCTGGAGAGGGGCCAGTTCCTCTCCTGAGCATTGCTCATTCTACATCAGGGGTGCCCACACTTTTTCAGCTTGGGAGCTACTTTTAAAATGACCAAGCCCAAAAGATCTCCCTACAGGGCCGCCCCTGCCCAATCTGTGTCGCGAGCGCGAGGGGGGGGGGGGCTAGTGGAGTAAACGGCGGATAAACTGTGGCGCCCTTACACTAATTGCGCCGCATAAGCGCATAATAGTGCGCCGCATTTGCGCTTCAGATGAGGAGGTGAGGCCCCCTCATAACTGCATGAACCTGTATGGCACAATATAACTCAGACTGGCTTACCTGTACGTCAATCAAGTGGCAAATGCCATAGTAAGGATGGATGATAGGCTAACTTTAATAAAAAAAAAAAAAAAAAAAAAAAAAAAAAAATTTCCCAATGCCATGCGATCTACCCACACTACCTTTGCGATCGACCGGTCGATCGCGATCGACGTAATGGGCACCCCTGTTCTACATGAATACAGACAAACAGACTAACATTCCTTGTTTTACTCACGTTGGGCAATCTGGCACAGGAAGTAGGAAAGTGAGGCATAACCAGATGATTTCTAAGATAAGTACACACAGCCAGGCTGGCCAGTACAGCAAGATGTCAAGACCAGGGGACCACCAAGCATCCTGGGGGACAAATACACATCAATCAAACACTTTAGTTCTCATTCAAAATACATGTATCATGGA